CCTCCCTGGCGCCGCCACTGGACTCAACTGTCATGAAGCAACATTGTAATGATATTACACATCTAAAACACAAGATGGCACCACTGCGTCCATGATGTCAGATTTCATTCAATATATTCAGACTTTCATTCCATATATTCAAGTTTCATATTATATATATAATAATTTCCTAAACAGCATTCCATAGTAAATATGTATAAATAATAATAAATAAATAAATGTGTATATGTGTGTGTATATATATATACACAAAGAAAAATATAGAAGAAGAGGAAATACAATGGGAAAACTGTAGCCTAAAGGTCCAGTGTGTAATAGGAGGATGTATTGTCAGAAATGGAATATAATAATCATAGGTATGATTTCATTAGTGTATAATCACCTGAAAATAAGAATCATTGTGTTATTGTTACCTTAAAATGAGCCATTTTATCTATATCATCGACATACATAAAAATGGACGTCACATCTCCACTTCTTCCCACTGAACAAAAATGAGGTCATCGAGGTCCTACCCAAGCACCCGGCCGACTTTGGCTTCACTTTTGAAGAGCTTTCATTTTCTCCATCATTATATATGTGTATGATTGTGTATGAGTCCTCTATGTTGAACCGCCATGTTTTCTACAGTAATCCACAACGGACAAACACTGGCTCTAGATAGATTTAGATGTCACTAAATCCTACACACTGGACCTTTTTTAAAGGGTTTTGCAGTTTGGTGTTTTGCTAAGCTAATTCATCACACATTAAAGGTCCAGTGTGTAACATTTAGGATGATCTATTGGCAGAATTGGAACACAATATTAGTTTTAATTATATATTAGTGTACAACCACCTGAATATAGGATCAATATATATTGTTTTTGTTACCTTAGAATGAGCCGTTTTTATCCACACAGCTGGATGCCAATTTCTGATTCTGATTCTGATACCTACTGGTCCTGTTAAAAGGCAATCCAAGAAAATTATGAAAAATTATAGCGTTATTTGGTCACCCTTTACCCTATTGGACAGAAACAAACTCAATCTTCCCATGGACAGCAATGCAAGAAACTCTCACCGTCTTTTAGGACATTATGTTTATTATTGTGATTTCAGAACTGTTGAACGGCAGCACAGGCAGGCTTATTGCTGCGTGGAGGAAAAAGGAGAACATGAACTTTAAACTCTCTGTCAGCTGACTAGAGATAAAGGGGCCTTGGCTCAGCAGGGCCAGACACATTACTTTCATATATGGTTCCACACAAGGAAATAACACCTGCAAAATAATTCACCTGACTAAGAAGGCCCAAGAGAGAGAACACAGAACTCTGAAAGAAGACAGAAGTGAAGCAGACTGCAGTTTGTCAGCAGGTGGCTTTTCAGGTTCCACAACAGAGAGAGTTTTAGAGCAGTGAGACAGGGAGGCCGGTAAGGCCAGGTTGAGTTCAGGAATTTCAGCACGTAACAGGGTGGTGTAGGGAGAGGGACGGAGGGCGGGCGCCAAACAGAGGAGGGACAAAGAGCAAGAGAGAGAGAGAGAGAGAGAGTCATAAATGCAATAATTACAGCTTAGGCTGAAATAAGCAAAGCAACTCTCCTGGTTTCACAGGCTGCCTGCGTCGCTAACAACACTGCCGTCCCGCTGACTCAGAGGGCCCAGGAGCCATTGCTCTGTTCTACTGCACTCATTCCTGGGATTTATTTGTCACTAGAACTTTTCATTTTCAGGCATGGATTTGCTCCTGGATTCTGGTTAAATTCTAATTCTTTCTCCCAGTCAGAATTCAAACAGAACTCTGTTGTTTTGTTTGTTTGTTTTGTAAAAACAACAAAACTGGAATCATTTACTATGTCTGTGACTGCCCTGTTCAGGGGAAAGTGGGGGCACAAGTCACAGGAAACCCCGGAGAAGCAAATAGCAGCTCTGGTTCAAGCCAGCCATGACGAGGATGATGACGAGGATGACTCCAAAGTTGGTTTGAGCAGAGATCCCATCCAGAGGAATTCACGCTTTTACCGCTCAATGAGGAAGAAGAGGCTGGCCTCATCTGAGCTGTCTGAAAGTAAGAAATTGCCAGGTCTCTACCGTGTTTAAAGTTTCACCTTAGTTTAGCTCGAATTGCGTGGTTAGGAGTTCAGTTCTCTGCCTTGGTGAAAGAGTTTTTGTAGAAATTACGTGATATTGCTCTGTATTGTTGTCCCATTGACAGCTGATGAAGTTCAGCTGAAAGTGGAACAAAAGCTTGGTAGTCCAATCCCTCAAAATTGACATGAATAAAACCTGAGAAACTCGTTCTGTTTGAGCAGCACAATGTCTGAGTAATACCTGTATGTTCTACAGGTCGCCCTCTGACCTCAATTTAAGCTGAAACCAGCTTGAAGTTTGTACATTCAAATCAAACAACCACCTGATGTCCTGTTGTATAGTGTCTGGAATGATTTGCAAAGTTGTGTCAGTGGAAGTTTTATTTGTCAACCTGCTTTTTGGATCAATATTCAGCTGTATTTAAGAGGCACAATCACAAAAAGTTAACTGAGATCATTTGTTTTTAGTGCAGGATAAAAACAGTTCTGTATAGGAATGCACCATTCATAGAGCCACACCAAATACAGTGTTTGAGCTTAGACTTTGCCCATGACTCAAAGGGAGGGATCAAAGTCATTACATAATCCATAACTAGCCAGTCAGCATCACTCCTACTAATACAAAATGTGAAATTAAGTCATAAAACACTGAGAAATCCAGTCGCCTGATTATTGTTGTCCTAAAATAAAAAAGAAACAAAAAGCAGTAATGTGTCTTTTCAAGGGTAGCTTCCTCCAAATTAAATTATGATACATTATGATTACAGATTTTATCTTATCACCAGCTATCTTGTCTTGATAATTTGCATAGGCCTTCCTGATAACTTACATTTCAGGAGGGATATGATCATATGGTATATGATTTGATAGCATGTCTAATAAATGCAGTCACTGCACACTGTGGCTACCAAAAAGGAAGACCCAGCTGTGTTCCAGACCATTCTGACTGTATTCAACTGTCACCAACTGTTTTTGCGCAAAGCTAACTGAAACTAGATATAAGTCGACTCCCGTCTGTTTTTGTTTTATTATGTGTCATGTGTGATATGCAGAGGTCTTGATGTTTGGCATGTAATGATGCAAAATACTAATTGATTATTTCCCTCAAATGTATGAAAACTAAAGTAATGAGTTTTGAAAGTGTAAGGAGTAGAAAGTAAATATATTTGTGGAAGAATATAGGGAGTAAAAGTAAAAATTATTTGTACTTAGTAATTTCCCACCTCTGATAATGAGTAAAGGATCAAGAGAAACAGTGGCAGTATTTACTAAGCCTAAAATTCAAAGCGTAAGCAAAAATGTTTTCTTAGAATTCCCACTCAAAAATATTTCAAAAGCTATTGATGAAGCTTCTTAAAGGGATCCGCCAACAGTGAGGGAAACTGTTTTCTTTCTTACCAGCAGTAACAGTAGATGAGATCAATGTCTGTTTCATATCTTTGAGTTGAGTAGCTTACAGAGACAGGCTGGCTCAAATACTGGAGGCAGGGACAATGGCTAAAGTCTAGTTCCATCAAAGGTATCTGGCTTCTTACAACTTCTTTAACATTTCTTAATTACATTATGTATATGTATCTACCATAAAAGAGGTCAAAGTTCTATTTTTATAAAGGCGGTCTGAACATAGACAGATTGATGACACCCTGTCTTTCGTCTGATAGCTGTCTCAGTTCTGCAGGTCTGTAATCTCTGGATTATCAGTCATGGTGCTTAAAGAATATTGACACAGTGATACTTTTCTGTATCCTCCAATGCAGGTGAATGTGCCAGGGCCTATTAAACTGCTCTTTGTTTGGAATGCCCAATAGTAAATTTCAACATTTGGCAGTCCTGCTTGTTTTGCTGGTCCCTGAAGAATCTTAAATTTACTCCTTGACCTTAATCAGTCTATTGAATACAACATAGGATTTTATAATAGTTACTGACTTGAAAAAAGATTAAGACTTATAAGACATTATTATATCAAGCATCTCTCACTAAAGCTGTTTGATATTAATCAAATTCCCTCCCATACGAGTTATGGAGCCTTTTTATAATAATATCACTTTTCATTAATAATACGGTAAATAGACCTGTACTTGTATAGCGCCTTTCTAGTCTTCTGACCACTCAAAGCACTTTTACACCACATACCACATTCACCCTTCACGCAGTCATGGCAAAGTCCATCGAACAGCATTCACACACATTCACACAGCATTGGGAGCAATTCGGGGTTCTTGCTCAAGGATACTTCGACACTTGGCGTGACGAGCCAGGGATCAAACCAACAACCTTCTGATTACTGGACGACCTGCTCTGCGTCTGAGCCACAGCCGCCATCATATGCATCTCAGGGTGAAAGAAAGTCGGTGATAACATTGTTTTATCAATCTTTTATTGAGTAAGGTTTCACTTCCTCATATATCTGCCAACCTATAACCAGGGTGAAAGTCAGTAGTAAAATGATTGACACTGAGCAGAAAAGTCTATCTGGACTATATAGCAAACAGTTCTTAAAGAATGCTGTGGTGTTTGTATTGCTGCTGTGGCAGAACCAATTGCCCCTCAGGGACAAATAAAGGTCTTGAACTAGCAAATCATAGAAAAGGAAGATAGAAATATAATGAAAAAAGAAGGCTTGATGAAAAGATGATGTATTAAATGTAAGTTATGTGGAATGAACTGAAATAAAATAGACTACGGTGAATCAAATCATGGGGGCACTGTGAGTGGCAGGATTTTTTTGATGTGGTGTTCTGGTAGAAGCTGCTTCTTGATATGTGACACCTAAACGCTTTGGCCAGGGTAAAGACAGTGTTATTGAGGGTGGGGGTGTAGATATTTGGTTTGAGTCGAATAGAAGGAGCAGAATTTTTGTGGGTTCTCCTGACGTTGGACCAGGTTTCTATGATATTGATTAGTGATCAACCAAACGCATATTTGGTAGAGGCTGGGACTTCACCGGTCAAAGTTCACCAATGTTAAACTCCACTATGTGCCACCGGAAGCAAATGTTTTATTCATCTCTTTACTCACATAGAATGGAAGTGACCGGGAGGGAATATTTTCCAATGTTGATTTTGCGTTTTATTATGAAAATCCTCTTATGCAGTGTATGCAGTTTAAAGAGTTTAGTGAAGAAAACATTTAGGATAAGAATATGATAATGTTTTTGCATTGCTAATTGTGTTATCCTTTACACTGAAGTTTCAGTTAAGAGAGACAAATGAATGAAGTAAAGATAATTGTTATAACATATGATATGTTTGTATGTGATATGTATGTAAGACGATTAAGTCTTGACAGGAAGTCTTTGGCACTTAGAGTCAGCAGCAAGATGACTCTCCCCATGGAGTCCAGACACTGGTGGTGGGGACTGATGACTCTGCTGAGGCTGATAAAATGATGAAGCTGATGAATCTGTAAAGACTGGGTGATGATGGGGAGGTGGAGGGACGTGCATGACTGCAGCTTAAATGAACTGAAGGCAGAGAGAGAGAATCCTATTTAAAGACAGCAGAAAGGTGATAGGCTGACGATGCAGGTGTGCTGCTTTGCCATTGGATAGATGAGACCATCTCAGCTGACAGCCCCTGACAGCAACAAAATGATGTGTGAGAGTTGTCAAAGCAGGATGGAAAGTGAAAGAAACTACAGGCCTGTACATGCAAAAAAATATTCTGCCTGACTGAACTTTTGCTATACCTTCATTCAGTGAACAGTCAACTCACAGCTAGAAGATCCTCTCTCAGGATTCTCTGGTTTCTGCTCACAGGTTAAGTGAATTGGTGACTTTAAACTGCCATAGGTGCTGATCTCAGAATCAGAAATACTTTATTGATCTCTGGGCGAAGATTTGTTAAGAGCAACTGTAACAGGCAGTACGCACTCTTGGCACATGCGCACTGCTGACAGTTGTCTGTCTCCAGACAAACTGTTAAATGTCATTGGAAACAAAAGCTGAAACATTTGTGTCAAATCCCTTTCAAGCGGTCCTTGTTCTTTATCAGTTACATGGGTCTCTTGCATCAAAATTGCAGTGTTTCCATTGCAAGGATGGAGAGGAAGGCATCTGGTGCCAATCCCCCCGTGACTGTACACATGCCTCTGCAGACACCCAGTGTAGTACAACACTGTCACACTTACAAGTCACAGTCAAATGTCTGAAGGTGTCTCAAGCTGTTGTTATGTGACATATTTCTGAGTGAGCTCACACAAAACTTTTGATATTATTTGAAATAATAAGTTTCTGTAATTTCATGTAGTTTATACTTCTGCACTATATTACAAAGAGAAATATTGTTCTTCCCATTTCATCAGCTGCTATAGTAACCAGTTACTTCGTAGGCTCAGATTTAATATAGGCCTATAAAACACTTTCCCCTGCAGAGAAGGGTTCTTCTAGCTTGGGGCTGTGTTTCAGCAAGCACATGTCTGTGTTTGTGGGCGGAAAGCCAGCAACGATTCACATACTTGTCTCTGCGTTTGCCATAACGTGAACCTTCCATGTATTACGCCTTCACACTGAATCTTCCTGGTAGCCTCCAATGTGCAGCAGGTAGAAAGAAGTGACCGGTAACATCATAAGGTCAGAAAGGCAGCACATGGCTGTCCCCAGCTCGCCCAGGCCAACAGCAGAGTTACTTTCCATTTTTTTAAAGGAAGTTACCGTACAAATAGCCCTTAGAGTTATGTAGTTATTATTCAGCTTTATTTACCAGATCATATTGCTTCCCTCCCTGTAGCAAATCTTCCATTGCCCAGTATCTGGGGTTTGGAACCATTGCAGTACAGATTAAACTACAAGCAATTTGACAAAATAATCCAGACTCTGACTGACAACTGAACACCCTCCATTCACTGCTGAAGACCATGAGATTTTGCTGAAAGCTCAGGAACCAGCTAGAAAGAGTAGAAATGGACAATGAAAATGAAGATATCAGTGAGTGTGCTAGATGGTTTGTTACATCTGGGAAGTCGTTGTTGGAAACTGTTTGGAAAAGGGCTGGCACTAAAAATACTCTACTGACTGGACGAACCATCTGTCTATCATAGGTGAACTTCAACCAATCAGATGGATGAACCATATAACGTAGTCAAACTCTTACTGAACCCAGCCGAGAGAAGAGAGAAAACATCTTTTCCATATAGAAAAGCTTCAGTGCCGTTCTTTGAAATGCTCTGTAGTTCTGATAGACTTGATGCTAGCAGAATCTACGCTAACCTCTTTAGCAGCCGCCATTGTTGTTTTTGAGCAGTCACTTCTCACATACACCTAGCATGCCCCTACCTCTTGCTGTAGCTGCCATTAGGTTGGTTGGTTGGACAGAAGCGCATAGACTGAAGCCTGACAAGATGGATTCTTGTGTCATCTCATGATTTCATGATCTCACTGGCTTGTTTTCCTTAACATGTACACGGATTAATTTCAGGACAACAATACGCTATATATGTGATAATACTGTATATCAGAGACATACAGGTGTCTGGGAGGAGAGGGGAACTTTACACACACACAGAGACTGTACTGTCAATCTGCATATAGCAGCATCCAGTAGGAATATCTGTTACCATGTCATAGTTTTAACATGTAGACAGATCTTACTTATATATTCTGTGGACACTCGTAAATCCAGCTGCCTCGCAACGTTAGCAAATTATGGTAGCATCAATCATTGAACCAAATACCCCAAAACGATGTGTTTATGTTCAATTAACCATGGCCTGTTGTGGCAGTGGGAATTATGATCGGGGGAAGTAGTGTGACATTGTTATATTTTGTATGTATTGTTATTGTTATTTTCACCATGACCCTAACCTTAACCTCAAGCAAAACCATACTCTTTCCCTAACCAAATGTTTGTTCCTAACTATAACCAAACCTTAAGCATTGTATTTGAAACAGTGATTTGTAACACAAGACAAACAATGTCATCCTGTCGATAGTGGCTTAGGATCAGAAAATGCTTACATGTGTCCTTCTGTAGAGCAATGACAAGCAACATATCTTGGTGTTTAATTTGGAGGATTTATTGTACTGCATGATGGGAGTTGAATTAATATTCAAATCAAATGTCTGTTGATGTCTTTGAACATCTTAAAGGGATAGTTTGGGTATTTTGAAGTGGGTACTTATCCATCACAAATGTATTCTTCACTGAAACTGAGAACTAATAAATTATGATGTGACATTTGTTGGGGTCTGTCAAACAAACATATTGTCTTAAATCTGGAGAACAAGGGCACCTGGTTAGCTCAGTCGGTAGAGCTGGTGACCCATGTACTGAGGCTGAGTCCTTGCTGCAGCGGCCCAGGGTTCGAATCCGACCTGCGGCCCTTTGCTGCGTGTCATCCCCTCTCTCTCTCTGCC